ATTAGTGATGTGAGGGGGGGTGTGAGTGCAGGTGGCATGAAAAAAACAATTGTGTGGCAGGCATTCAGGGCGGGCCATGGACCCACNGTCTTCTCCCACACAGAGATCAAAGCAAAGCCGAAGCGTAGCTGTGGCCCCCCCTTTACCGAGCCGCCGACACCACCGCCGCCGAATGCACAAGCGCGCAGAAATTGAGCTTCACAGCCCCCACGCCCCACCCTGCATCTCCCAGTTCCCAAAGCACAACCGTAGTACATTCGTACCTGCAGCAGGGCAACCAGCGCTCTCGGCGACATGCGGCCCTGCTGCATGAGCACCTGGCTGCGCCACATCAACCGGGCTGTCCACCTGCCATCCGGCCGCACCCCCCAGGCCGCCAGTGCCCCCGCCAGGTTGGCCAGGTGCAGGTCCGTGGCTCGGTTCTTGAGTGCGGACCTCGAGGCCTCCAGGAGGGCCGCCACCCAGGAGGGGGGGGGCTCGATGTTGAGCCGGCGGAGGGCGGTGATGAGGGAGGCGGTGGCAGTGGTGTCGGCCAGGAGCTACAGCAGGAGTGGGGGGGCGCCGCCGGAAGGGGGTGGAGGGGGGAAAGGGGGTGTATTTAACCCTGGGCTCTGATAGACAGACAGACAAACAAACTGTTGGATAGGCAGAGACCTCCCTTTCCGGCCCCAAGCTCCCACCTGGCGCATGTTTTGTTGCGTTGCGTCCATCACCACGCGCTGCATGTGGGGCTCCGGGCGGTACTGCTGAGCAGCCAAGCTGCCCAACACGCCAGCCAACTGATGAGCCTGAGGCAGGGTTTGGTGGAAGGGGGGGAGGGGAGTTACGACGAAGCATGGACGGTTGGCGTGAAGGAAGAGGGGAGAGGGGAAGGGGTTGGGTGGGGGGGAAAGGGTTGACACAGAAGCAGCTCGTCGGTGTCTCCCAGCCCTTGCTGACCCCCCTCTCGGCCAGCTTTATTCATGCGGAGTGAGTGGTGTGTAGCCCTCTCCTCGTCCGGATGTCCCACTTCCCACCAGCTCTCACTCCCTCTTCTCCCCCACCCCATGAACCCCATGGCCCCATGACCGCACATCCCCCCAACCATAATCTCAACCCCAATACCCTCATCACATCACATCACGCCACGCCACACTCACCTCCAGCGCCGCCAGCTTGGGCTGCAGTGCCCCCACATACGCCTGCATCCACTCCAGGGGCGGCTGTAGGGCCAGCCTCGTGAGCCCCTCCAGCAGCTGCTGCAGCTCCCCCCCGCTGAACACCCCCTGCCGCACCCGGGCCAGGGTCACCTCCAGCACCCGGGAAGAGGTGTCGAGGTCGATGAGGGCGGGCAAGCCGGTGGAGGTGAGGCGGCCCAGAGACCAGATGGAGAGGGCGAGCTCGGGGGGGGCCAGGGAGGGAAGGGAGGTGAGCGTGTGGACGAGAAGGGTGGCGCGGGTGGTGTCGTCCAGCGTCACCTGGGCAGAAGGGAAGGGGAGGAAGGGCGGGGGATGAGAGGATATACATACACACGTACATGGATAGATATGGTATCCCGCACATTCCCGCACATCTAGCAGCCCACCAAACCGTCGGGTTCATATATCAACACTCCCTCTTGCTCCTCCTCCCTCACCACCACCTGCGTTGGCGGCAACCCGCGGGCCCCAAACCCACAACCCGGCGAGGGGGGGGAGAGGGGACGGGGGCACACCACCTGGGCCGACTCACCTGGAGGTCCGCCAGGGCCAACAGTACGGCACATAGCTCCCGGGAAGCTGTACGGCGCAGCGCTGGGCGCAGCGCCTCGCAGTAGGCCGCCACCCACTCCGGCGGGGGTCTGGCAGGGTGTGTGTGTGTGGGGGGGGTGAGGACCGGGGTTAGGGGGTTAGGGGTGCTTGTGACACTTTCCTTGTCAGGGAGAAGACCTGCTGCAGCCCCTCTCCGCTTCCCTCCCACCCCTGGCCAGGCATCCCGTCGCTACCATTTTCTCCCCCCCCCCCCCCGTGTCCTCAGGTACCTGTACCGCAGCGCCGCCAGCCCCTGTGCCGCCTTGGTCAGGTGCAGGGGTGAGAAGGCCGCCAGCCTGGGTTTGCTGGCCTCCAGAAGCACCTGACGCGCATGACACGCAGCCGGAGGGGCCCAGGGGGATGCGGCTGAGGGGGCCATGGAAATGGGGATAGCCGGATCGGACAGACAGACAGACAGACAAACCGACGTTGGAGTTGTGTAGACATGCAGCCAGCCAGTTCTCTTCATGCCTTCCATAAGCCCATAATCACCCACCAATACGGCATCCTCCTGCACGTCCGTACCCATAGCGCCGTACGCCCACAACGTGAGCGCTAGGTCACGGGGCATGAAGCGGCGGATCTGGTACCTTACAGCCGTGTAGATATTGGAGCGCACGTAGGGGTCGGGGGGCACCCCCAACATGGCCAGGGACACCAACACGTTTGCCAGCTCNTGAGGTTGTGGGGTTGTGGGGTTGTAAGGGAATGGGTCTGTGGGGGGATGGGGTTGGGGGGAGTAGGTGCGGGGACCCGGCCGTGTGGGCCCGGGAGGGCTCTTGCCCCGGGACGGAGGGGCAGAGGGGCGGAGGGGCGGGGGGCGGTGACCGGGGTGAGCTCTGGGGCTGAGGCGAGCGCCAGGGAGATGGAGAGCCAGGACGCGGCAGAACGCGGCCGCAAAACCGCTCCAGAGCGCACCGACCGTATGCGTTCAGGTGCGCATCCGCGGGTTAACCCGCCTACTCCTCCCTCCTCCCGCTGAGATGCGCCAAGTACACACACATACATACATTAGGCAGGTGGCTGGCAGAGGTTAAGGCCTGACTTCTGCTCCCGGCCGACCCGGGTTCAAATCCGCCTGCCGGCTCCTCGGGTGTATGAGGAGTGATGAAATGGGAGGTGGCCCCTCATCATATGGACGATGTAGGACGTGATAAAATCAACTTGCGAGTTGACCAGGAAGTTGATGCGCCGTTGATCCGCTAGATTTGGTTGGATGCTGGTGGTGAGTTGCCGAACCCAACGAATATATTCTGAAGTCGGATGGGGTGACGGATTAGGGTGCCCCTCTAGCAGGGGAGAGCAGGGACTGCCCCGGGAAAGGGGGCCGCTGGCGAAGTTAACCACCCTGTAACAACATACATACATACGCACAGAGGGAGCACACATGCACACGCACCTGGGGGCTACACTCAACCAGCTTGAGCGACAGCACCTGCAGCAGCTGCTCGACGACCACCTTATTGTCGTACCGCAGTACGGCAAGCGCCGAAACCACCTTGGACAAGTCGGAGCCGCTGACGCCGTCCAGATCCGCCAGCACCATCGGCACCAACACACGGAGCGCGCTGGCAACCGCGGAAGGCGGGGGGGCCGGGGGTGCTACCGGCGCCTCGGGTGCCTTCCCGGCAGCCGCGGCGCTGCTGCTGTCGCTGCTTCTTTCCCCCTCTTCGACGCGATCAACCTTCGCCGCCGCCAGGTCGCTTGATCGCCCGGAGTCATTCCCGCCTTGGACCCCCGCCACCGCTGCGGAGCCGCCCAACACAGGTTCCCCACTTCCTAAGGTACCGGCCCCCGCTAGGTCTTTTCCTTCTCCCCCTCCCCCTCCCCCTCCCCCTGGATAGCTCCGCTGCTCCACCTCGTCATCTGCCGCTTCCTCCTCATCGTCGGCATCATCCAGCAGAGAGGACATTTGTAA